GGAGAAAAGGGAACCCTCTTACACTGTTGGTGGGATATAAATTGGTGCAGCCACTATGGAGAACAGTATGGAGGTTCCTTAAAAAATTAGGAATAGAACTACCATATGATCCAGCAATCCCACTTCTGGGTATTTATGCAAAGAATACAAAAACGCTAATCCAAAAAGATATCTACACCCCCATGTTCATCATGGCATTATTTACAATAGCCAAGATATGGAAACAACCAAAGTGCCCATCAACAGATGAATGGATAAAGAAGATGTGGCACATATATATACACAACAGAATAATACGCAGCCACAAAAAATATGAAATCTTGTCATTTGGGACAACACACGCATGAACCTTGAGGGTATTACACTAAGTGAAATAAGCCAGACAGAGAAAGACAAATACCATGATTTCACTCATAGTGGAATATAAAAAACTAATAAACAAACAAAAACAAAATAAATGAGCAAACCAAGCCAAACAAAAACAAACACATAGATACAGGGAAAAGAGTAGTGGTTACCAAAGAGGAAGGGGGGGGGGAGGGTGAAATGCATAAAGTGGATCAACTGTATTGTGATGAATGGAAAATAAATTTTTGGTGGTGAGCATGTTGTAGGGTATACAGAAGTAGAAATATGAATGCTGTACACATCAAACTTATATAATGTTATAAATCAACATTACTTCAATTTAAATAAATTTTTTAAAACAAAAAAAAAAAAAGAGGAATATCTCAAACTGATAATTGAAGCTTCCACCCAATGATCCTAGAAAGGAAGAAAAAATTAAGCCCAAAGCAACAGAAAGAAGGAAATAATAAAGTTAAGGGCAGAAACCAACAAAATTGAAAACAGGAAAACAACAGAGAAAATCAATGAGACAAAAATCAATAAATTTACAGAGAGAGAGCACAAGGGGGTAGAGAGGGAGAGAAAGAGAACAGAGATTACCATTATCAGGACTGAAACAGGAGATATCACTACAGACCCTGCAGACACCAAAACAATAATAAGGAAATACTACGAACAACTCTATATACAGTTGTAGGTTCGTGACTCTTTTGTTTCTGACAAATAAAAAATTTTATAATTTAAGGTGTACAACATGTTTTGGTATATGTATACATTGTGAAATGATCAAACTAATTAATATATCCATCACCTCCCATAGTTATCATTTGTATGTATGTGCAGTGAGTATACTTGAAATCTACTCTGTTAGCAAATTTCAAGTACACAGTACATTATTATTAACTATAGTCACCATTCTGTACACTAGGTCTCCAGAATTTATTCATCTTACAACTGAAAGTTTATACCCTTTGATCAAAACCTTCCCTTTTCCCATACCCCACAGCCTCTGGTAAACACCACTTTACTCTCTTTTTCTGTAAGTTTGGCTTTTTCAGATTCCACATATAAGTGATATCATACAGTATTTGTCTTTCTCTGTCTGACATTTTATTTAGTATAATATCCTTAAGGTCCATCCATGCTGTCACAAATGACAGCATTTCCTTCCTTCTCATGGCTGAATAATATTCCATTGTATACATGTACCACAACTTCTTTATCCACTCACCCATTGATGGACACTTAGGTTGTCTCTATGTCTTGGCTATTATGAATAATGTTGCAATGAGCATGGCAGTACAACTATCTCTTTGATATCCTTTTTCACTTTTTTGGATAAATACCCAGAAGAGAGATTCCTGGATCATATATGGTAGTTCTATTTTTAATTTTTTTAAGAAACTTCATACTGTTTTCCACCATGACTGTACTAATTTACATTTCCACCAACAGTGCACAAGGGTTCCCTTTTCTCTACATCCTCACCAACACTTGTTATTTCTTGTCATTTTGATGATGCCATTCTAACAGAATACGGTTTCTCATTGTGGTTTTGATTTCCATTTCCATAATAAGTACTGACGTTGAGCACCTTTTCGGGTACCCTTTGGCCATCTGTATGTCTTCTTTAGGAAAATGTCTATGCAGTTCCTCTGCCTAGTTTTTAATTGGATTGTTTGGGTTTTTGCTATTGAGTTGCATGGGCTCTTTATATATTTAGGATATTAACCCCTTATCAGATATATGATTTGCAAATATTTTCACCCATTCCATTGATTGCCTTTTCATTTTGTTGATTATTTCTTTTTCTGTGCAGAGACTTTTTCACTTGATGTAGTCCCACTTACCAATTCTTCCTTTTGTTGTTTGTGCTTTTGGTGTCATATCCAAAAAACTGTTGCCTCGTTAGGTAGTTTTAATTAGGTCCCATCACTCCCAGAAGTCACTCCCAAAAGGGCCCTAACTAATGTACAACCCATCACTGCATCGACCGTCAGGCCTAGCACAAAGAAGCCGATTAAAACCCAGCTGAAAAGGGCAAAGCACAGAAAAATGGTCTGAAGAAGAAAATGTCCAAATGAAGCACAACTTGTTGGGCCACCACCTGCTACTGCCATGCACTGGACAGTTTTACTTGGGTCAGGTGGACCAGAGAACAGCACCAGCCCCAGGGAGTGCCCAATCTTCACATATCTTAAATGCCATCCTCCACTCATCATGGGACAAGGCATTATCACTCACAAAGCCCACCATGACCAAGTCCCTCTCCAACTCGGGCTACCAAGCAGGTCCTACTTTCTCTCTCTCCAAGTTTCAGAAACAAAAGAACCATGATAGGATATTCAATAGGGAATCTTTTTCCATCAGCATCCATTCCAGCATCTATGACCTCCGGGCTCCCACACTGACCTACTTCTGGTTGAGATGGCCTCCAGTGTACAACTCATCAGAGAAGCTTCTCCTGATCACTGTTTTAAATAACAATCCTTACCACCTCCACCCCATCCTGGTATCCCTTCCAGGTACTTTTCTCTACCTTTAAGCATCATCTAACATGGTACCTATTTTTTTATGTTCTGCCCTCCAAGCCAACTAGAATATAAACTCTAAGGAGTCAAAGACTCTCAGTTTTGTTCCCTGTTCTATGCCCAACATCTAGGACAGTGCCTGACGCATGCTGTGTTTTCAATAAATATTTGTTGAATGAATGAATGAATGCACGTGCAGTGATGTAAGACTAAGACCAAGTTAACAGAGAGAACAGACAGAGGAGCGATCCAACTTCCAGTCTACAGGAGGTGACGATGAGCAATAACTTGATATGCTCATCCTCAGGTGGGATAAAAGAAGGAATGGGACAAATGGGACGCATGAGGCATTCAGGTCCAAGCTAGCAGCACAGTTAGGCGAACAGCTATGGTTTTTGCCTACCTAGCACCCATTTACCCTTCTGACAATAACGTCTGACTTTCCTTGAGGTTCTGTCTGACCTACTTTTGGGGTGAGGATCTGACCTAATTTAGCCAATCAGCATACCCCACACCTTTGCTCATACCAATTGCTTTCTGTTTGGACACATGATCCAATTCAGGAAAGAAGAGTCAATCCCATGATATCTACCAAAACAAATGGGAAAAAGAAACTTCCTCTCCAAGGACATTGCTAGCAATAAAGACGATAAAGCCTGGAGCTGTCGCAGTCACCACCTGGAGCCTAAGAATAAAGCCAACTCAGAAGAAAGCACCAAAGAGAGATGTCAAGAGACAAACTTGAGTCCCTCCCTGGATCCAACCACACCTGAAGGTACTGGGCATTTCAATAATGCCAGCCAATAAATTCTCCTTTTCTGGTAAACTATTTTGAATTGGGTTTCTGTCACGTACAACTAAGAACATCCTGACCAATACTAAAGAACAAGAGGGAAATACATTCTTGAGGCTCTTAAATACCTAGCTGAGAAGCCTCATGTCAGGCAAGGTGTTCCAGAAGGGCCATCCCATACCTTTTGGTGAAACTCATTGCCAGTCTTTTTGGTGAGCAGGATAGGGGCTGAGGAGAAGGTCATGATGCTAGTTTTTTATTATTTGTGTTTACCTTTTGGGAATTTATTCAACAACTCTGTCTCAAGAGAGCATAATATGGTGAAAACATCACTGAACCAAGAGTCATTTCTGGAATGGAAAGCCCACTAGTTAAGACGTTCTTAATCTTCGATGGGGTCAAAACCCCAGAAAAGTACACATGTGCACAAACACATAATTTTGCATAGAGTCTCATGGGTTTCACAACTCTAGAAGCCATTCTATATCTGTAACCTCTCTGCTCTACAGAAACTAGGACACTAGCTTCTGCTTGGACTCCTCTGGTGACAGGGAGATCACTACCTTAAAAAGTAGCCCAACGTAATTGAACTGCTCTGGAAAAATTAATTCGTCTTCATATTGAACCAAGATCTGCACACTGTAACTTCTACCCATTGGTCTAAATTTTCCAGAGCAAAACAGAAAAAAAATTTTCTCTCCTGTGTGTAGCATCTCTTCATTTCTCTGAAGACTGTTTCGAACTTTTAAATGCAAATAATTTATGGGGAGAAATGCAGATGACGTGCCATGCAAATTATTTTACAGTGCATTATTATAAAGATATATTCTGCCACCTCACTCTAAATATGCCAAATACCCAAATGTAGACGCTAAATTCCAGACAGGCACCACTGCTATTAATCGGCATGGTCTAGGTTTTGCAAAGACAGGAATTACTGTATAAAAATATCTCGAAGGAAATAGCAAAGTCTTTTGGAAAGAGCACTTCACTGAGAATCAGAAGACTTGGGAGTAGTATCTATCTCCCGTTCCAACTACCTGTGTATCCTTGGGCAAATCATTTAACCCCTCCCTCTGGGCCTGTTTCTCACCTGTAAAATGTGACAAAACCTACCTCACAGGGATGCAGTGAGAATCAAATGCTATCGTGTTCGTAAAACTTCTAGCCCAAGCCCGGCACAGAGCAAATTCTCAGTACAGGACAGCTCCGGAGCTCTGCAAGCCCAGCGTCTCATTCGATGCGCTCGGCACTCTTGCACCAACGGGATTCCCCTTCCCAAGCGGAGTCTGCGCTCTGGGCTCAACTGAGGCTCCCTGGCCGCTCGCGCTTTTCTCTCCTTCTCCAAGATGGCGGCGGTCGGCGGCGCTGAGGCGGGATCCGAGCGAGCCTAGTGAAGGTAGCGGCGAGCGGAGCCCCCACGAGGCCGAGCTGGGCCCCCACCCCCAGGCGGCAGTGGCCCCGCCCCGCCACCACCCGCCGCCTCGGGCCGCGACACCGCCCTGAGGGCGCCCGGGGCCCGTCGCGGCCTAGCCCAGGGGCCGAGCCGGGGACTGGAGTAGCGGCCGCAGTCCGCCCCCGGGAAGGGGCTGGAGCGGGTCGAAGGAGGAAGGCGGGCGGGAGCTGTTCAAATGGGGAAGGCGGGAAAGTGCGGGCCGGGAGGGGGCGTGCGGCCGCCCCGGGGGCCCGCGGGCCGAGGCCGCCCCTCCCCCTGCCCGGCAGTCTCCGCCCTCGGGGGCGCCGGGAGCCGCTGGGACGCGGGAACCCGAGTGGGGCCGCCTGGCTCAGGACCCGGGACGCAGGGTCCTTGGGCTGTCAAGGGGCGAGGGGGCCGGGTGACGGGAGGGCCGGGGCCGCGGCTGGCAGGAGAGGATGCAAGGAGCTTTCTTATTTTCCTCTTCGCACCTTCGCACAGCTTTATTGAACTAGCTGTTGCTGCAGAACTGCCGGGAGAATCCTGTTGGTTTGCCGTGAGGACCACAAAGACGGTGGTCCTTGGGGCTCTTTGTAGCAGTAACCCGGTGTGGTGTGTACTCTTTGCGTGCGACCCAGTTTGAACATACCTTCCGAGTGGGTTTTTCTCCATCCAGGCCCATTTCCCCCCAAAGCTGGTACTTGTAGATTTCACTTTATTTTCTGTCGGGCAGAAGAGAACCATTTATCTCCCTGCCTCCTGATGGCTGACTATATTCCCCCATAGCAGAATAAATAAAAAACTGAATCCAAAGTAGAGCCCGTTAATTGGACAAGGCTTGTCAAAATTTGTACCGCTGGATTTTTGGGAATGTGTGTTGTCAGCCGCTCTGTGAGGTCGTCGTGGTTCCGCTCAGTTGCACTACAGTGAAAGGATTCAGTCCCCATCCCAGGCTGTCGGGATCTCTGCAGTTCCCAGAGCTGGCAGGGGCTGTGAGTGCTGCATAGGTAGGTTCGTGGAGAAGGAGAAGGGAGAAGGAGAAGGGAGTGGCAAGAATTCGGAGTCGCTGGGTTCTGAGATTGGAGGAGATCTCGACGAAAATGAGAAGACATCCCCTGCTCCTATCCTAGAAGTAACAACAACGACAGCAATTCAGAAACTGGCAACAGCTGGATGTGCATCTTCCTTTTTCGGCACTGGCAGTTTGAGTTCCTGAAAGAAGTGCTGGAGGAAGAGAACACGGAATCTTGAGCAAGGCTGTCCTCCTGGACTGGACCTGGGTCTCAGGATTTTGCTTACTGCCCCATTTCCGAGGTTTACTTTGTCTTTTTCAATACACACTTACATTTTGGGATGAAGAGGCTGGGGCTCAGATGACCTCAAAAAATCACCTTCTGAAACTTTTTTTTTTCAGTATTTGTAATTTGAACCTTCAAAATAACAAAGTACTGTGTCTGGTGATTTTCAGTTTTTCCCTGATTCCTTTGATAATTCTAAAAGCAAAGCCTGAACATCACGCATGTACTTACCTACAAGTGGAAGAGCAGCTCTGCCTCCTTTTTCATCTCCTGAAGAAAAGTCCCACAAGAGCCATTTGATAATTTGCACCTTTCAAAAGTACACATTTTTTATGATGGCATATTTCTTACTTCCATAAACAGCTTTAAGTAATGAACTTTTACTTCTGTTGTCATTTGTTAGCCCACTGAGAGGAACATAATTGTAAAATTATCCCTGCCTCTTGAAGTTGACAACACTGGATTCTGTAAACTCCAAAATTTGTGGAATTCGGGAGACTGAGCTTTAACACCTGTTTTACACTTGCCAACATTTAATGTAATTATGGCTTCTGTTTTCTAATGTGAATATCAAACCTATTTTTCGTTTTCATTAATCCTGACAATCTGCTGCCTAACCCTGGACTCTGAATTTATCGTGGATAATATTCAAGACCTGGAAAGAATATCACAGGAGTGGTCTGATCTTACATAAATGTTGCCCTAACTCTGCCTTTCTTCCACACTGTTGCTTGAGACTTCTTTATCTGGTTTCATCTTTCTTCTATGAGTCAGCAACCAAAACTAACCTCTGGGCTGCAATAATATCCTGATTTTAAAGAACCCAGAAGTTCAGGGTCTATCAGTCTGCCCAGGCTATGAGTGAGATAGTCCATTGTGTCTAAACTTAGTTTTTTAAGCTCTTGGCTGTCCCAGTTCTTTATTGAATTAGACTTGCCTTCAGGCCCTGTTCATTTTTTACTATCGGTTATTTAATCTTTTAATTTATAAAGTGCTCTTCCATGTCTTTGTAAAAATTGAATAGTAGCGGGCCTAATTCTAATACATAATGCTGACAGCCAGCACATGTTTTCTGTGCTGCCCTGTGCCTCTGAGGATCAGCTCCTAATTTTCTGTTCCCTTATACAATTTTTTCACCCACTGGCTGTTTTTCAAAGCAGTCAGTTATGAGACCATGAGCACTTTTTCACAGTCCAGTGACATCATTGTTTTCTTTCTCATACTGTCTTCAGAGGTACCTAACTCCTATTCTGACTGTTCGTTGTTCAGCTCTGTTTTATGTTAGTTTTGATGTTACCAAAGGGAAGGCCTGGTTATAAGTCTCAGGACCTGCCTTTGCATCATACAGAAGAGCATTTTGTTGTTGACAACAGATTGGTGGACACACTGATGATGTTGAATATTTAAGATTTTTTGCCCATTATTTCTCAAAGTTTCTTTGCCAAACTCCATTTATCATGAAAAACATTTAAGCTGAGGTCTCAAGATGTGGTATTTCTTGGCATTATCGGCCTATGAAGATTAATGGGATCCATATACTCTTCTAATAAGCTCACTACTTTAGTGCTAGTGAGTGGATGTACTATTTTTAAGTGAATGGATATAATTCCCTATGATGATCCCCCTCCCCTAACCCCTTGTGGAGTTACACCACTTGTGTGGACAGGGGGTGACAGTAATTTCTATTTGAGAAAGTTTAATGCCTAATGCTGGAACATGAAAAACTGGCTGTATTAAGTATCTTGCCTCCTCGTAGTTTCTACATGAGACCTGACCTCATATCACCTTCATTTCCTGTGAAAAGCCCTTTGAGTAAATAGTTCTCCAATTACCTGTAAAATAACCCAGTTCATTTCTTCACTCTTACCTTGACCAAGTTCATTCATTCCACTTCTTAGGGAAGTGGAGAAATGCTTTTTTATGTTTCTGAATCTGACTTGTAAATCATTCTTGGTAATACTTCTCTTTCTGTTTTCAACTTAGGCATTATCTGTCCCTTGTATCTTATCTGACTTGTGTAAATAGGCCTTTTTTCTTTTGGTTTATTTTAAATGTAACTCTTATGAAATTTTCCCTTGTTAATTCATCTTTTCTTTCCCATAAGTTACATACTTCACTATTACCCATACCTTCCTGAAGGGACTGGCAATGTCTCATTGAAGTGTCCTTCAGCATTTCTAAACCCCACTATAGTGGTGAAGGTAAAATAAAATTTAAGTAAATAACCAGTCAGATCAACTTTTAAGCATTTCACTAACTGAATGAGGACATTTTCAATATATTTAGTATATAATTTTTAAATTTCCTGAAAAAACTTTTCCTGTGGGAATTGTGACATTGCCTGTCCTAAAATTATTTGAAGAGCTTTACCTTTGAGTGCAGTTCATGGCTTGTCATCTTCAAAGTCAAAATGGATGTATAAACTTGAATGCCAAAAAAGTAATTTTAGGGCCTCCCTGGTGGCGCAGTGGTTGAGAGTCCGCCTGCCAATGCAGGGGACACGGGTTCGTGCCCCAGTCCAGGAAGATTCCACATGCCGCGGAGCGGCTGGGCCCGTGAGCCATGGCCGCTGAGCCTGCGCATCCGGAGCCTGTGCTCCACAACACCACAACAGGAGAGGCCACAACAGTGAGAGGCCCGCGTACCGCAAAAAAAAAAAAAAAAAATTTAACAAATTTAAGACAATATTTACGGCATTTAAATTTTAGTAGTTCTTCAAATCGGTGAAAATCTTAATAATGATAAAAATTTCATCACCAGTGGACAGATGACAATTCCTCCTTATTTTCACCTATAGCCTTTAAGAAAGGCTTGATAGAGTTGAAAGCTGTCTGTGGGCAACTAATATGAGAAGTGTGCCTACTTTTACACTTCTCTGATTTTGAGCAAATTCAGAGAGCCCAACAAAATGCATACCAAAAAATTATGCTCTCAAGATCTTTAATGCCACTATCATGTTCTCATCAGTTCTGTTTAAATTGTAATACAATAGATTTTAGCCTTTCACCGATTCAAATGGTAGGATTTTGTGGTCTCGAATGCATGGTATAACCTGTCTTCCTCTGCATCCTGCTTTATCTGTGCATTTTGTAACCGTGATTGAACCTATCCCTCTGACTTAATGTCGGTTTTCACCCTGTCTCAGTGTTGTCAGACCTGTTGGCATGTCAGAAGTTCTCATTAATCTTGAAGTGTTTTTTTATATAGGAGGTGTTTTATATACTTCCCCAAACAACAGCTTTAATTCATGAATCAAATCAAATTAAGCCTAATGCACTTCCTACAGCTTCATCCCTAGTATATTTACAAAGAGAAAGAGGAGGTGACAAGACACTCCTTTATTCCTTGCTGCCCTTCCAGTCTGCCCTTGGATCACTACACATTTCCATCTGGAAGGTTGCTTCTCCACAGTAATTTCGCATTACAGGAGGGTTTTCCTTCTTTGTTTCTCAGACCTGGTCCTGTAGACGGGAAGGAGCCTGGACACAGGGACCCATTCTCAAAGGCCCGGCAGGACCGCCATGGCTTATGATGACTCCGTGAAGAAAGAAGGTATGACCCCTTAACCTGAGAAGCATTCCAAAGGGGGTGTCCTCTTCAATCCTTGCAGCCCATGGACATAGAGACCAGGACTGGCCATCACAGCCTGGACTCCCAAGTGATGATCCAGAGCACTAGTAAAACTCCACGTCATCCCCAGACTGGGCCCATGGAAACGAAAACCAGGACAGGGTTCCAACACAAGAGTCCGAACCATAAGTCTCTGTAGTCTATTGGGGTGATCCCCTGCAGCACTCGTGGTCCTTGCCAGCTCCAGTGTGCAGGAGTCTGAGGATAGGAATCACACAGTGGACACCCACAGAGCAGCACAGCACATGAATCCTTATTCTTTTCAGCCTTACCTCTGCAAGTCTGTGTCCACCTGCCAAATCACAACTAAGAAACCATGTCTAAGGATGCACCTTGGGCCTTTGCATAGCGTGGAAGCATTGTTTCTTCATGTTTGATTCCTGTATTTGCAGCCAAGTCATCAAGACATATTCTTGTCCCCTTGGATCTAGCCCTGTGTTCCAGTGGACTTACCAAATAACATGATTCTAATTTGGAAGTGAAGGGACTATTGCATTTCACATGTCGCGATTTGGTTGTGACTTACTTGACTTTCTCATTTCCTTTCCCAAATGAACCTGTGCTTCTCAGATTGCTTTGATGGTGATCACAGCTTTGAGGACATAGGGCTAGCTGCTGGCCGAAGCCAACGAGAAAAGAAACGTTCTTACAAAGATTTTTTAAGGGAAGAGGAAGAAATCGCTGCTCAGGTCAGGAATTCTTCCAAGAAGAAGTTGAAGGTAAATTCTAAACATTTGAATTAGGAAAGTTTTAAACTATTTCGTATCATGTTTCCTAGTATTTGAAGAAAGAGGTTTCTTTGAAAAACATTTAAAAAGAAAAATAAACATCATTCACATCTATTTTCACTATTTCCTGTGTTTTACTTTATTTTCCAAAGTCAGAAATCATCAGAAAACAACATTGGTTCCAAACTGCCTTTGCCTCATCATCTTATCCATTGCTCAGTTCTTCTTCCTCTTCCATTCTAGGATAGTGAACTTTACTTCTTGGGGACGGACACGCACAAGAAAAAGAGGAAGCACTCCTCTGATGATTACTACTATGGAGGTAAGGATGGGAAGGGGCAACAGGCGGGAGAAACACATCACTGGTTCTTGGAGTCGGGGTAGGGGAAAGGGATCCAGATGTTGCTGACTCAGTGGCCTATTTAACAGGACAGTGGTTCTTGTTCTGAGTGCCGATAAACCAGTGTGAAGGAGGAGAGAGGTGGAGGGCTGGTATTTTGGAGGATTCAGCATAGAAGAACAGTCTTCATTTGTGATACACCAGGTACCAGGTTCCTTCTCCCCTCAATCATCCACTTATCTTGTGCCCATTGCTGTCTAGCATCCCTTTTGCCATATGTAGTCCTGGGCCCTCTGGCCTGCACCTGTGGGTTACTTCTCAATCCAGCGCGTATCCACTCACAAGACCAGTTTTTCTTAGCTATATTGTGCACATAGCTGACAAGACTAACTCTTTCCTAGAATGGATTTGTCCTGAACACAGGAACAAATGATGCTTTGTCTTCAGTGTAATCTAAATTGTAACTACTCGTAATCCTGCAGCTATGGTCCATTCTTCTGGGTATGCTCTCTTTGGTTGCTTGTGAAGACTCAGTGAAGAAAAACAACTTGAGTGGCAAGAACTGTCTCCAGGGTCAGAGGCAGAATCTACCAAGCCAAGAAGCACATGAGCATCATCTCTGAATGTTTGGAATCAGTTGAAGGGCCTCCCCTCCAATCATTCCTGTTAGCCTCTTCCTCATCTTAGTTGGGTGTTTTTGGTGAGAGAGGAAACTTGCTGGAAGTTGCTTTGTCAAATGGACAATTACTTCTCTTGATTATTTCTAGATATTTCGTCTTTGGAGTCGTCACAGAAGAAAAAGAAAAAGTCTAGCCCGCAATCTACTGATACAGCTATGGACCTGTTGAAAGCGATCACTTCCCCTCTGGCAACAGGCACCAAGCCTTCCAAAAAGACAGGAGAAAAGTCCTCCAGTTCTTCAAGCCATTCAGAGAGTAAAAAGGAACACCACAGGAAGAAAGTCAGCGGAAGCAGTGGGGAGCTGTCCCTGGAGGATGGTGGTTCCCACAAATCCAAAAAAATGAAACCACTCTATGTGAACACAGAGACGCTGACCCTTCGTGAGCCTGATGGGTTAAAGATGAAACTTATTCTCTCACCAAAGGAGAAGGGAAGCAGCTCAGTTGATGAGGAGTCTTTTCAGTACCCCTCTCAACAAGCGACTGTGAAAAAATCCTCTAAGAAGTCAGCTCGGGATGAGCAAGGTGCTTTACTCCTAGGACATGAGTTACAGAGCTTTCTGAAAACAGCCCGGAAGAAGCACAAGTCATCCTCAGACTCACGTTCGTCTCCTGGCCCTGAAGGCTGTGGGTCTGATGCCTCCCAGTTCCCAGAATCCCACAGTGCTAACCTTGATCTTTCAGGGCTTGAACCTATTCTAGTAGAATCAGACTCCTCCTCTGGCGGGGAGCTAGAGGCAGGGGAGTTAGTGATCGATGATTCTTACCGGGAAATCAAGAAGAAAAAGAAGTCAAAGAAGAGCAAGAAGAAGAAGGACAAGGAGAAGCATAAAGAGAGGCGACACTCCAAGTCCAAGAGAAGTTCGGGACTTCCCGCTGCAGCAGTGGGAGAGGTCCCAGCGCCGCCCGGCCCTCCGCCCAGCATCCCGTACACTGGAGCAGCCGCCCCTCCCCCACCGCTTCCTGGCCTCCACACAGATGGGCACAGTGAGAAAAAAAAGAAGAGAGAGGAGAAGGACAAAGAGAGGGACAGAGGAGAAAAGGTAAGGCATTTTTTAAAGTATGATGCACTGTAGGAGGTGAAGCAGGTTTTTCCTTGACAGTAGTAAGAGGACTTGGAATTAAGCAGATGAACCGCTGGGAATGTAGCAAGGTAAACCTGCTGGAATGATATAAAGTAGAAAATATTGCCAATGGTACAAAAATAGGAGCGACCTTAATTATTCATGGGTTTTCTTGATAGAGTTGTTCTCCCACCGTGCCAAGCATAGGTTTAGAAATACAGAGGCTTATTCTAACTGGCCCTTAAAATTCACAGAAGGAGCCAAACCCAATTTCTTTCACTCAGCAGCGCTGTCTGGCTGAGGCAGTTGAGAGATATAAAAACGTATTCATTCTGTGAGTTCGTTGTGAAAAATAGATTTTCAAAATTAGAATGATGGAAAAAAAAATCAGAATGATGACCGATTAACAAAATAAGCTAACGGCTTCCCACGAACTGGTGTTGGCTACTTTCTGGTATTCTTTTTAGTGTCCAACGTGTGTGCTCTCACCATTTGAGTGCTTCCTGTGTGCCAAGCCCAGTGCTACCATAGGAGTTAAGAGGTGGAAAGAGGGCCAGGAGGACACAGCTCTTGAACCTCAGTGAGCTCACTGTTGTTGAGGAGACGGGAATGAGAGATCAGCCGCCTTGGTTTGATTTCTTTCTCACAACTCAAGAAATTTTCTAGCAGTTGTACTACAGTACAGGGGCTGATGACTGTGTCATTACAGGTTTCCTTTAAAAGATAAACTTTTTCCCCAGATTACCAAAGTAATATATTATTTTTCTAGAAATTTAGAAATTCAGAATAGTAGAAAGAAAAAAAATCATAGTTTTGCCACCTAAGGACAACCATTTTCTTCCTTTGCTCTGCAAAGTTAAATGTCAGGTAAAATCTGAAAGAAAGGCAGCTAAGAAAGAGAAAAGCAAATATATTAAGAATATGGGATTGGCGATTTCATTTCAGTCTATAATTGAGTCATAAGTGATTTTCTCCACTAGTAGGAGTGCCTTTTAAGCAAGTATACAGATCAGAAAGAAAAAGCTGTATCTTGTTTTTTTTTTAACTGTACCTTCTGAGCTAAGAATCAGTGTGAGCATCAAGAACTGAACAGTCCAATACTAGGGTGGGTTTTATTCATTGTTTATTCCAAAATTGTTTCATGAAATAGTACATATCCTGTGTAAGAGTCTGTTTATTCCAAGAATTTCCATTCTAGTGATACATGATAATGCCGTAAACTAATCTTACAGTGCTAAATGTGAGGAGGGCAGGGTGGTCAGAGAAAGCTCTAAAGAAGAAAAGGGTTGTCAGCAGAAGGGAACATATGGAGGCAGAGGGATGTTTAGGAAGCAACGTAACAAAACAGCTGAACTCTAGTCCTATGTTTCCAACTGTCTGATAAATATTTCTTCCTGGATGCCTTGGCTACCTCAGAGCCATGTGTCACTAATGGAGCTCATCATCCAGACCCTTAAACGTGCATCTCCTCCTCCATCTCCTTCTGTAGTCCGCATGTCCTACCAGTCAATCCAAACTAAAAACTATATGCTGATTATTTTTCTCAGTACTTCATTATGAAATTTTTCAAACAGAAAGTATTGAAAGAATTGTACATATGCCACCCATTAAGATTCTTCAGTTAGGGCTTCCCTGGTGGTGCAGTGGTTGAGAGTCCGCCTGCCGATGCAGGGGACGCGGGTTCGTGCCCCGGTCCGGGAAGATCCCACATGCCGCGGAGCGGCTGGGCCCCTGAGCCATGGCTGCTGAGCCTGCGCGTCCGGAGCCTGTGCTCCGCAATGGGAGAGGCCACAACAGTGAGAGGCCCGCGTACCGCAAAAAAAAAAAAAGATTCTTCAGTTAACATTTTGCTGTTTGCTTTATCATCCATCCGTCCATCCATCAATTCATCTTATCTTTGTTAATGTATCTTAAAGTAAGTTGTAGGTATCACATACACACCCCTAAACACTTCAGCTTGCATATCATTAACTTCAGCTCAATACTTGTTTTCTGGGCTTTTTTTAGGTAAAATTCACATATGGTAAAATGCACAGATGTTAAGTATACCACCTGATGAGTTTTGATAAGTTCACACACCTGTGTGACCAAACCTCTATCAAGATACAGCTATTACCCTCATCACAGATACCCAGTAATGTTTCTCATACCCTTTCTCAGTCAATCCCCACCCCTAAAACCAACCACTGTTCTGATTTTTTTCCAACCTTATGGTTCACTTTTACATTTCCCTCTTCCCTGCCCACACCCGCCACTATTTCCGCTCAGCTGTTGGGCCTGATACTCTTCCTCTTTAATAACTTCCACACCCTTATGCCCTCTATCACCACTGCCTCATCCCTCCCTCATCCCTCTCATTAAGTACATTACTACTTAATGTAGTAATAAATGGCCCCCTTTCCATTTCTTCCCCCATGCAAAATTCATCTTACTCTGATGCCAGAATGAACTTAAGGACCACTTTGATGATGACAGTTGTCTGTTCAACATCCTCAGAGCATCCTTACTGCCTTTATGTTAGACCCATAAGCTCCAGGAGGACCGGGATCATGTCTGTCTTGCTGTCTACTCTGTCCCTGGTACATAACCCACAGTCTGGCCCATCGTAGAAAGTCAGTAAATACTTCTTGAATGAATAAGTATCAAAGTCCAAACCCTTGACCAAGCATTCATAATTGTGATTTAGCCCGAAACTTCCCTCTTCAGCCTTACCTCCTGTTAGTCTGCTTTGCGTGTACTGTGTGGGGACCATACTTGTTCCTTACCGTCTTAGCTCCACTCCTTGGATGGTATTTTGCAGTGACCTTCTTCCCCTTGTTTTTTCTCCTTCACATATTGAAGGCCTGCCTTCCCTTCAAAATGCGATCAAATGCCACCTCCTCTAAGACATCCTGACTCTCCAGTTATAATTAACTTCTGAATTCCCATAACACCCTTGCTATGGGAAGTTACTGCACTTGTTGTCTTCCTTATATTGGATTCATCTTTGTATATATTCGATTTCCCCTACTGAAGACTCCTTGAGGGCGTTTTAGTTCCTTAGGGACTCTCAGCCACCTTGATGTTATTACCTTCAACTCCTCGGTGTCCTTGGTAAGCATTTTGTGACACATGTCAAATGAATGAATATGTGGATGAAAACATAGCATCGAAAAGGTAGGTTGTAAGCAAATGGTAAAGAATCTTGAATGCCAAAGTAAGGGATTTGGCCATGGGCACTTTGGGGTTATGAGCAGAGTTTAAATATGCTGTAAATGATAATTTAAGAATAAAATGATGAAGCTTTACCTGGTGACTTAGACCGAGGAGAGACTTGTGGCAGATCACCCAGGAGGTTATTATAGTCGGAGGTCAGTAATGAAAGCCTGATAGAAATAAAATTGAAGAGACAGATTCAAGAAAGACTCTGAAGAAAAAACTGACAAGATCTAGCAGCTGGGCTTGGCTCTGCGGAGCCAGATACATAAATGAGTATATAAATGTCCCTTAAGGTTTTGAACCTGGGTGGCTTGCAAGATAAAATTATAATCTCCTCAAGGGTAGGGACTTATATATAATTCCCCCATGCAGCTAGCAGTTGCTAGTGAAAAGTGAATTTCAGTTTATAGCAAAAAATCTTACTATGAATCAGTATTTGACTGTGACTGTCCAAACCTGAAACCTGATACTTTGAATGTAATCATTTATTTAGCCAACAGATTATTTATGGGACATACACCATGGTTTTATTTTTGTTTTTGTTTTTTGGCGGTACGCGGGCCTCTCACTGTTGGGGCCTCTCCTGTTGTGGAGCACAGGCTCCGGACGTGCAGGCTCAGCAGCCATGGCTCAGGGGCCCAGCCGCTCCGCGGCATGTGGGATCTTCCCAGACCGGGGCACGAACCCGTGTCCCCTGCATCGGCAGGCGGACTCTCAACCACTGCGCCACCAGGGAAGCCCTACACCATGTTTTTTAAACCTGACCTGTGCATGAAAATTTCCATGGAGATTTAAAAAAAATCCTTTCCAAAGAAATAAAGAAAAATTTTAAATCCTGGGTTTTGTTTCAGTATAAAAAAAGAACTATCTGAGGGAATTCCCTGGCAGTCCAGTGGTTAGGACTCTGCGCTTCCACTGCAACGGGCACGGGTTCAGTCCCTGGCTGGGGAACTAAGATCCTGCAATCTGAGCAGTGCGGCCAAAAAAAAAATAGTATCTGAAAGTCCACCTAGAGATAGAAAGGAAGGTTTCAGGAACAGCATTCCCTCGGCCTGCAGTGAGCACACACAGAGAGCCCACTGGTGGAAATGCAGGAGGCCTCTGTGTGCCCTTTCTACCCTAGAACCTGTGACCAAGACCGCAATGCAGATAGAGAAGCAAGAGAATGGCTGGTTTGGGAGAAGAAGAAAAGTTAGGTTTAGATTCCAAGATATAAGCGTCTAGAGATTCAGCATAGCTAAGTGGTTAAGAGCGTGGCTATGGAGCCAGACCCCTTGGGCTGCATTCCTGGCTCTGCCACTTCGAAGCTATGCGATGTTGGACAAGTTGCATGACTTCTCCATCTACAAGTGGGGATGATGATAGACCTACCTGGTAGGGTTGTTAAGGGTTCAGTGAGGTAATACATGGAAAGGTGTTCAGGGCCTCAGTGTGCCAAGGCCCTCTGGGGCGCCACAGCAGACTCACAGTGGCACCACTAGATTTTTTCAACATTAGAATTTCAGAAAAAACAGTCATACTTGCCATCTGTCAGGCACCTCATGAACTACTAGCGCAAAGTAATTCACAGTTTCAATGTCTTTTTATGTTCCATTCCTTTCAGTGATTGCTGTGATAAAAAGCACGTACCACGTGAAGACCCACACAGGAACCAATGAACCAACAAAGTTTGGGAACCTTGGCTTTGCACAGTGTTCGGCACATTAGCTAAATAACATTCAATACACGTTAGTTGTTACAGTCATCATCTCAGTAGACTTTCCAGGGAGCAGTGGAAATGC